TGGTAAGAATTCCTTTTACAGCAGCATAGTATTCCATCGTGTAGATGTACCACAGTTTTCTAATCCATTCATCTACTGATGGGCACTTAGGCTGTTTCCAGATCTTAGCTATGGTGAATTGTGCTGCTATGAACATAGGGGTGCACATATCCTTTCTGATTGGTGTTTCTGGTTTCTTGGGATATATTCCTAGAAGTGGGATCACAGGGTCAAATGGAAGTTCCATTTTTAGTTTTTTGAGGAAACTCCATACTGCCTTCCATAGTGGCTGCACCAGTCTGCATTCCCACCAGCAGTGCACGAGTGTTTCTTTTTCTCCACATCCTCTCCAGCACTTGTCGTTTGTTGATTTGTTGATGATAGCCATTCTGACAGGTGTGAGATGGTACCTCATTGTTGTTTTGATTTGCATTTCTCGGATGATTAGTGACTTTGAGCATGTTTTCATATGTCTCTTGGCTTTCTGAATGTCCTCTTTTGAAAGTGTCTATTTAGGTCCTTTGCCCATTTTTTGATTGGATTGTTTATCTTCCTTTTGTTAAGTTGTATGAGTTCCCTTATCGGTGATAACATTGGCAAATATGTTCTCCCATGCAGTGGGCTTTCTTGTTGTTTTGTTGATGGTTTCTTTTGCTGTGCAGAAGCTTTTTATTTTGATGTAGTCCCATTTGTTTATTTTCTCTTTAGTTTTCAATGCCCTAGGAGCAGTATCAGTGAAGAAATTGCTTTGGCATATGTCTGAGATTTTGTTGCCTTTGGATTCCTCTAGTATTTTTATGGTTTCCCATCTTACATTTAAGCCTTTTATCCATTTTGAGTTTATTCTTGTGTATGGTGTAAGTTGGTGGTCTAGTTTCATTTTTTTGCATCTATCTGTCCAATTTTCCCAACACCATTTATTGAAGAGACTGTCTTGACTCCATTGTATGTTCTTGCCTCCTTTGTCAAATATTAATTGAGCATATTGGTTCGGGCCGATTTCTGGGCTCTCTATTCTATTCCATTGATCTATATGTCTGTTCTTGTGCCAGTACCAGGCAGTTTTGAGAACAGTGGCTTTGTAATACAGCTTGATATCAGGTAATTGTGGCTATGTTTAACTGCAATAGAAAAGGAGGCATTTGGGTCTAAATTCATCTCAAAAATTGAAGGCCTTATAAGGGTCTTTAAAAGGCAGCCAGAGGTGAGTCCTTGGGCGGGTCGAGCTTGAACAGCCCCGGGTGTTGCTACGCTAGGGCGACTGCAGGAGGGAGAGTTGCCTAGTGAGAGGGAGAAACTGGCGGCTCCCGGCCTGGCTGCTGCCCCTCGCCTGTGCTGAGGCCTATTCTAGGGGCCTCCCCTCAGCAAGCTTCAGTGTCGGGAGCCCATCCAGGGGTTTCTAGGGATAAGTGGGAGCCTCCTCTCCTTACTCCCTGGTGTAGGCTGCTTGGACCCAGCGCTGGGATTTCCTCGTGAAATGTCTGACGACCAGCGGGGCTCTCTCCCCCTGAAACGCCGGCATCCTCACAGTCCCCCAAATAAGCCCCTGCAGGTGTTTGGGGCCGGCTTTGGGCGTGTGGCATTTTCATCCTGTGCCTCCGGTGCCTCGGGTGCTCGACTTGGGGCCGGTGGCTGCCGAGTGCAATCTTGCGGGTTCCAAGCCGCTGTATCCTTCACGGGCGTCCTCTGGCGGCTTTTGGGGGTGACCCGAGCCGCAAGGGGTGGCCCCGTGGGAGCTGAGAGTCTCGCCCTCGTGCCCTCTTCCAGACATGAAGTGAGTCGCGCGTCACAGGAGTCAGGTCTGCCGATCTGGCCGGCCTGCCGCTGGAGTGCGAGCCTTGGTGGGTGTTGGGGGCGGGGGGGGACGGACAGGTGAGGGGTAGAAGGAAGGAAGGGCGTCCCTTCTGGATGTCCCCGACGGCCCCCAAGTGGAAGGTGAACATGATGGTGCACACGGGCAGGCTAAACAGCCATCCGGACGGTGGGTAGAGAAACATTGGTTTTATTTAGGGAAAGGGGGGGTGGGCTCCCCGAAGAGAAGGGCTGCACAGCACCGGCCGGGGGGACACGGCGATGCCGGCAGCCCCGGGGCTGGAGGGTCATCCTTACACGCAGGCGCTGGCGGGAAACTGTCAGCGGGTCTGGGCTGAGCTGGGCGGGGATGCGATGGAAGGAGGTGTGCGAGCAGCGCCTTCAGGAGTGTCCAGTCCCTGACTCCGGTGACAGCGGGCTTTTCCTGGTCTGGGTCCCCGGGGGAAGCTTGCCAATGGTCGTTAAGGATTGATTGCCCTATAGGCCTAACAGTTACTTTAGGTCTGAGTTTGTGAGGCCTCCACTCAGGCCTCCCCTGAGCTTGTCAGATGCAGTGTGTGGCCCTGTTCATCCACAGTCTCTAAGAGAAAACAAAGAATAAGCAAACTGGCACAAATCTTTCATGCTTGCATCTTAACATGTTCCGCAACCTCTCCTGTTTTCTGCAGCACCAATTCCTCTACAGCAAGCATGTCAACCTTGCGGCCCATGGGCCACATGCGGCCCACAATGAATATTTTTGCAGCCCAGCCAATATAATGGTATGTAAGAAATGTTTTGATAAAAATTTCATAACTTAATTTTTATAATATCCTGTTATACATAATCTATAATAATAAAAGCTTAATATGCTAATTAGACCAGACATCTTTCTGGACAAAGCCGGGGCTGCGAGGGAAGCCCCAGTCCTGGGTGCCTGCCAGTGGCCGGAGACAAGCCTGGGTCCCGGGTGCCGGAGGGAAGCCGGTGACGGCAGCCGGGGGCAGGAAGGCCTACTCTTGCATGAATTTCATGCATCGGGCCTCTAGTTATTAATAACGAACTACACGTTCACTAATGACTGATGACTATAATCATGTTGCATTCATTTCCCTTACGCGCCTTACACGCACCGTTTCTCTTCACTGATCCTAGCAGCGAGTATTTAGCAGCCGATGGCCACGTCATTAGTCTTGGACTGACTTGTTTGGTGTGCGCAACAGGAAATATTTCCCTTTCGAAGAACAAGAAAAATAGGTTCATTTGCTTTACGCTTATTAATTTGTGCCGTTATTCAGTGTCTGGTAAGTTAATGTTTAAGAAAAATATTAATTTTTATTAAAATGTTCTATTATTTTATGTTAACGATGACTCACTTATTTCAGCCCTTTGTATTCAGCATGTCCCTATCAAAATAAACCTCCATTTCTATGAAAATTGAAGCTTTTGTTTTTTGCGGCCCACATAAACCTTAACCTTGTTTATTTGGCCGATGTTAGCCTTTGAGTTTGACATGCTTGCCCTACAGCACCTGTAACTCCCTCTCAGTTCGAAGCTTGGGCTCCGGATTCCAGTGAGAAGAGATGACACTGGTTGATTTCTCCCGTAATGCACTTGCCAAAGTGTGAATTCCTCAATGCTCTTGTTAGAGGCTTCTCAAGAAATGCCAACATTTCTCACCTCTCCTCTATTTTATATTTTGTGTCCCTATCGTCTAACAAAGAATTGAATTGTGCCTTGGCTGGTTGCTCAGTGGTTAGAGCATTGGCCCATGAACTGAAGGTTGTGGGTTCCATTCCCAGTCAAGGGAACATACCTCGGTTACAGGCTCCAAATATGTTTTTGTTGATTTTTTTAGAGAGAGAGAGAAAGGGAAAAGGATAGAGATAGAAACACCGATGTGAGAAAAACATCCATTGGCTGCCTCCTGCACGCTCCCCACTGGAGATCGAGCCCAAACCGGGCCATGTGCCCTGACTGGGAATCAAACCGATGACCTCCTGGTTTATGGGTCGACGCTCAACCACTGAGCCACACGGGCGGAGCAGCTCCCTCTGCTCTCACGGCTGTTGCTGAGGCTGCCGTCCTCCAGGCCAAGCCCAGCACTGCCCTTCAGTGTCCATGCGCCCAGCAGTCTCCCTGGGGACCCAGCCGTGGCCCCTCGCCGGGAGGAACCCTGTCCAGCCGCTGGGCGCTCCTCCCGACCCTGCAGCATGGGCATAGTCTGGGCCAAATAGGGGCCGGGCTCTCCACCATGTCCAGGCCCGAGAATGTCAGCCCGCTTGTCTCTCAGCCAGCTGTTTGCCCATAACCCAATGCCAATGCCCATCCGTCCTCTCTGAGCCCAAAAAGAATTGAGGAAAAAAGGCTTCATATGTTTCTCAGGGAGGAGACTATACCCAGAGCAGCAAGAAGAAAACAGAAAGCGACTCCACAATGAGTGACCCGCCAGAGGCCCCGCACCGGGAGGGTCCGATGCAAGTGTTTGGCGCAGAGTTTGGGGAGGTGCTCTCCGGGGGCCGCGACTCTGTCTCTGTGAGGACTCAACTGTTGGTGACCCGGGCTGAGTAGACTACTCCGAACCGGGGGCAGCCACTGCCTCAGACCTCATATTTCCTGCCAGTTTGGCAATTCTCCTCTTGACGGAGGTCAGGAGGTGGCGTCAGCTGGCAGATGGGCTGCCCTAGAGTATCCAAGACAGGCCCTCACCCTCCTGGGGCAGCCGCGGTGGACAGAGGGCTGCCCGTGGCTGAGCCTGGGCCTCACGCAGGACACCGGGCCCCAGAGACTATTCCAGCAACAGGAAACTGGCTCGGCATCAGTTCCGCTGATTTCTGTGGGTCAAACGCCGCAGAACCCACCCAGATTCTTGGGGGGCCCGCTCCAGAGCCTCCGGCTAACCTACCAGCCGGCACCCTGACCCACCCCTCCCTCTCCTCCAGCTGCTGGGCTCGGGCGCTCAGAACACCCCACGCCGCCCTGCCGCCCCGCAGCCTGAGCCCTCAGGGGCAGGTTAAGTTCACACTCAGTGGGGAGGTGGGGGTGAGTCAGCCCTGGAGCCGCAGGAAAGCCAGGCGCGGTGCGTGCTCAGCCGGGAGGGGCCACACCCGCGCGGGGAGAGGGCGCCCCCTGGGGGCTCCCCGGCGCTGCGCACGGGCCTGGAGCCCGGGATGGGGCCCTGCACAGCCGTGGTCGCAAGCCTTTCGCGGGCTCAGGGGCCAGCGTGCCTCCTGGACCCCGTCCTGGGATGACCGCAGCGTCAGGAAGGCCTGGCTGCGGGCCGACGTGCACAGCGCCCAGGGACAGCGTGTCTGGCGCTGGGGCCGCCGCCCGCACCTGCCCGCAGCCCCTGCGCCTGGCGCTCCCGGCCTGCGGGCCTGTGGCCAGGGGAGCGGGCCGGAGCCGGAGGCTCCCCACGGCCCCCAACTCGTAGCAGCGGCGCTTGAGCCGGAGGCCGCTGTGCCCATATTGCAAAGGAGGCGCCACTTTGTATGTCCTGGGCAGTTAGCGTAGGTCACCTTGCTGCAGGAAAGGGCTTTTCCGGCCCCGCCCCTGCCTCCGCCTGGAGGAAACCCCACCGAGGCAGGCTGGTGGGGGCGGGGGGGGGGGGGGGGGGGGGGGACTGGAATGTGGGCCCGGTTGCTCATAAGCCCAGGACACGCTGCATGGTGACCCAGGTGCACCCTGGCGGCCACACACACCATCGGGACAGGAAACCGCTGGCTGTCCATCTAGGGACTGCCAAGCTTCCAGCGCCCTCTCCCGCGCCCGTGCGGGCCTGGCCTGGCTTGAGGCCCCGATGAAAGGTTGGCATGGAGCTCCGGGCAAACCCCCGCTCCTGTGCTGAGCTGCCACCCGGCTCCCCTCGCAGACCCTCGGGTGGGGCAGCGCCACTCCCCCATCCTCGGCTCAGGTGAGGCTGCAGAGCCGCCCGCGGGCCGCCGAGAGGCAACGCTGCTCACACAGCAGTTCCCTGCGCACAGGGTGCAGCCGCGACCCCTGCTCACACACAGGCCTGGCAAGACAGACTAGATCGCCCGGGGCTTTCGGTGCAGAGTGAAGATGGGTAAATAGAGAAACTAAAGGTCCGTGTTCGGCAAGGAGAGAATGTCCCGTGGACATTCCCAGGAATGGAACATAAATGCAGCAGATGGACAGGCTGGAGATGGGGCCTCTGGGACGCAGCCCTGTGGAGGGATGAGAAAGAATCAGCTGGCCTGCTCCCCGCTCACAGACCCGGGCGGAGGCTGGCCTTCCGCTCCCTTCCCCTCTCCAAGAAAATAGACTGAGGTACCTTGCTACTGACTTCGCCTGAACCTGTGGCTAAGGGAGGATTGTGGATGCCAAAGCAGGTGCGCGCAGGGACTTACCCCCCTCCTCGGCTTGGGCAGGAGCCTGAGACCTGGAGGGGGTAGGGGGGATCACGGAGGGAGACAGAAAACCTGGGAATGAACCTGGAAACTAAGATGTCAAAATGGACAAAAAACGAAAGCTGGGAAGCGCAGCCAACATCAGCACAGAGGGGATCATGGCAGAGGAAGTGGAAGCAACAGAACAACCCGAAAGAGACTTCAGTGCCCCAGACAGATGGTCGTGCATATGTTCACTTAGAAAATGAGCGGCTTTGAAATAAAAATCAGCAGCAAGGTGCCATCACAAAACGACAAGACAAAAATACAGTTCAATACATGGTTTGGGTAAAACATCTAATATAATCCCCCCAAAAATCTGAATATTTTCTAATATCTGAAAAGAGGAAGATGTTTAAGCTGGCTAGAAGAAGAAAATGGTCCAACAAGATCAAAGGAGTAGACCAGGGGTCCTCAAACTACGGCCCGTGGGCCACATGCAAATACAAATATTGAATTTGTTCCCGTTTTGTTTTTTTACTTCAAAATAAGATATGTGCAGTGTGCATAGGAATTTGTTCATAGTTTCTTTTTTAACTATAGTCCGGCCCTCCAACGGTCTGAGGGACAGTGAACTGGCCCCCTGTTTAAAAAGTTTGAGGACCCCTGGAGTAGACTAATAGATTTAACCACATTGAAAAAAATTCTATAGTTAATAGAAAAACGTAAAAGGCAAAAAATAAATTAGGAAACATGGACCACTTTGCCTGGTGTGACCTCAGGCAGGTCCCTGAGCTCCCTGTCCTCCCCCGCATTTCCCCCCTGACGGAGCCACCATCGCTCCTGCCTGGCGGTGGGCTGTAACTCGCTGAGTTGGTACATGGAGAGCTCTTAGCACAGTAACCAGCAAGGAGAAAGCGCGCAATAGCTACTTCCATTCTATATTGATGTTCAGACACAACAGGGTAAGCATAACCAGTTAATAACGATAGTGAAAATTCAACCTCACTAATAAAAAAGGAAAAGGAAAAGACATTTTTATTTTTACCGCTGTAGTCGGTAAAGACCGTTAAAATGACCATAGATAATTGTTTTCTAACTCGGGTCTCCACGCAGACACTGTGCTGGGCAACCGAGGGCTCTGTGCCATGTTGCGGGGAAGAAAACCACACATGTGGTCACCCCGAGTCTTGCAGAGGCTCTGTGCCGCCCTCATGAGGGAGTCGCTATCAAAACGGAAAGCGGCCGGCGCTGCCTCCGAGTGGGGGATGGGCAGCCTGGAGCGCGTGGGGGGTGGAAGGGGTCAGCCGCTGTGCCAAACAGCGCGGGTCCTCGAGGCATGACACACGGACCTGCCGGGGGCCCAGCAGCCCTCGGCTGTGTCACCCAAGCAATTGGAAGCCCAGCCCGGAAGACACGTTTCACACTCGTGTTCACAGCAACACCAGTCACAGGAGCCAGGGGTGGACGTGACCCCTGTGTCCGAGACAGTTGACTGGATAAGCAGGATGCGGCTCAGTGCCCACGCAACGTGGCTCGGCCTCCAGGACAGGATTCTACCACCTGCTGCACGCGGACGGGGCTCGGGGCACCAGCTGGGTGCAATAAGCCGGACACAGAAGACAACGCAGAGAGGCCACTTAGAGGAGGTGCCCGTTCAGACGGGAGCAGGCGGCGGGGGCCAAGGAGGCCGCTGCTGCTGGCGGGACAGCGCGGTGGGAAGCTCAGAGCTGCTGCGCAGCGGGTGGCAACGCTGTTGAACGCTACGATTTACGCTGTGTGATTTTAACACATTTTTTAATTTTAAGGTTTGCTTTAATATTTGAAATTATTTTT